CCATCGAAAAAAAGTGTTGCAATCTTTCTGTGACTGGTTGTACATTCACAGGCCCAAATATAATATAATTGTTTCGAATTCCGATGGGACTCGTAGCATGCAACACTGCAATATTAAAATAATCGATTATTTCGTTTTACCTCATACATTGGCTGCGTATCAAAACGATACCCACGAGTTACATCGGCCGATTTTCCATTTAATCCTAGAAGCTGATTTAACGGGTGTACATTTGTTACGGGCATTAGGCGCGCTCATTATTTATCTCGGACCGATAAATTCCGCCGCGGAAGCGGGTGTTTAATTTTACACGCGTCCGAGAGCAATAATTGGAGGATGAAAAAGCCCCTACAGACAATTATTCGCGCGTATTTATCGGAAACGGATAAGCCATCGAAAGATTCCAAAATATGAGTTTACAATGCTTTATTGATTAGGAGTAATGCCATTATCGAGAAATTAATTTTGGTTCTGCGAACATGGCCATGGCGCAGAGTTATAATTTTAATTGTATTTGTACATAGCGCGAGAATCGCTCTTACAATCTACAATATTGTTCTACATTTTTCAAGAGTTGAAATTTGGTTCTGTTTCTTTTAAAAATAAATGGAATTTAATTGAAACTGAACCGTGAACATAATTGTCATTGAAGGAAATTTTCACGTTTTATGAAATATGCAAGAAACGTTGATAATTAAACTTCCATTGCGTTGGAATCACTCTGTCAGTTCAAGTATAATTTATGATCCTATGTCCAACATAAATTATGCTAAAGTAGCTCGATTACCTCGATAATTAGAATGTAATAGTATCGTAATGCGTCGGAAACGTACCTCACGATTAATTAATGCGTTATTAAATTGCAACGCCGAATAATTCACGATTACGTCGCATTACAATTGTGCAAATGTATGTATATATATATATATATATATATATATATATATGTGTGTGTGTGTGTGTGTATGTATGTATGTATGTATGCGCTGGGCATAAAAGTGTCATGTATATTAATGATTGTGTTTACCGACCTATTATTAATAGTCATTCAACTTGAAATTGAGGACAATAATGTAGACTAATTTATCGTTCCAAGAAATGTAGAGAGAAAGAGAGAGAGTTTCTAAATTAGTGTTTCCGTATTTACTTTTGTACAATTATTAATAAATTATTTTCATTACTTTTCGCGCAGAATCATCAAGTAAAATCGTTATAGTCATTCTTTTTATTTTTTTTTCTATTCCAAACTCTTTAGCTATGCGAATCGACTTCCGCGTAAAATATGTAAAAAATTAGTAATCGTAAATATATTTATAATATCGTCATGATTGGATAAGATCATCATGAACGAAGCGACTCGTGAATTCTTCTTTTTAGAAGCGATTTGGGATTTGGGAAACAAATAGGGATTTTGCGGTTCAAAGTTCACACATTCAAATGCTCTTATTCGAAATTTTTATGTGATATTTTTTTCTAAATTTCCTTCCGTTGGTGAACGGCAACATCCGATTGGTGACACATTGAGCGCTGCTTGTGCACCGCAGGGATTTCCTTTGGAAATTACAACGTGAATAATTTGTCGCAATATGCAACGTTTGTTGCGCGAGCTCTGAAATATTTCTGTTTGGATGCATTTTGATTCGCCTGCCTTTTAAAAATGTCCCCAAAGATTCTGATCTGTCAACTTTAACTTTTGCTTAAGTTACGATTGTACGAAGCAGATATTCATATTTCGAGGGAGGAAATCATTTCTGTTTTGAATTATACAAGCTTGAATTATTCAATAATATACATATTTCACAAATTGAGGGTTGTATTACATATACATGTATATATTACGGTTATACTTTGAAATATTCATTAAATACAAATTGCAGGAAATTAGATTATTGCTTATAATAGAATATTATATTGACTAGAAACCTGTAAAGTTTAATGTTAATTGATTCTGCAATATATACTTAAAAGAGATTTTGCCTTTTAATTAATATAAAATATAATAATTAAATTGTGTGTGTAAATCAGAACGAGTTTAATTAAGTAATATCTACAATGTTACATAATTATATATTAAGAAATATTTCGGAATGATTTCGAGCTATGGCTAGCTGTGCGCTAAGTGGCGGAAAAATACGTGAAACCTTGCCAAGTAGAAACAATTATTTTTCTGCAGACGCCAGGGAACCTGCTCACTTGGGTATTCTGTCAGAGTTAACTGATAAAATTTCTTTCTACCTATTTTCTGAGCGTCAGCTATATTTCTTGAGTAGAGCAATCTGTAAATAACGAGTCGGCCATATGCGATGGTTTCCTGTCGTCATTTCAGTGAAATTAGCGGTTGAAATAGTATGATTTTACTCTTGCGAACAGTGAAATAATAAGAAATTGTCAAAGCATTTGATGTCGAGCAATAAAAGAGCTTTGAAAGATGGTGTTACCCATTTAAACTTTCACCTAGGAAATGCCTCCTTTGAATGCGTCAAGGAATTCATAGATTAACGGAGAATATACATACAGCTTGCTTATATATCCGCCTTCTCAAATCGCTCGTTTCTTCTCGAGGGAAACTGAAATTGCTCGCAAGAGAAAACTTCCATTTCAACTTTCGTTAAAGCACGCCGAACTTTTGTCTGGAAACATTGTCGGTAAAGGAGGTGCGATTCACCAGACGATAGCATTTAACTTTTTGCCGTGTGAAAGGTATGCTTTCACATGCATTGTTGTACATGCGCTCTGATTGATGCATGTACGAGGGGATGGAATGCCGGAAGTTGAGCTGGACGTCGGTGTTCTACCGGAAATGTCGTCTCTTGCTCCACTGTCCAGTCCACGACCGGAATCGAGTCTTGAATGTTAGCTCTTCCTGCGCGAATTTATCATCCCGAATCCCTGAAGACCAGAGAGGATTTCCCACCGTACCACCCTTTCGACTCACGATAATGCGAATCGCCTCGAGCGAATGGATTAAGTTAGTTTGCACGATCCGGTTTTTCACATGAATCACAAAGAAAATCGACAGATCGAAGATATATATATACAAGTGATTTGTTTGAAAAAGTAAAGAATATCTACAAGTGTCGACATGAACTGAAACAAATAGAGTAACTCCGGTATATACGCCTAACAAAAACTTAATTTATTTATTATGCATTATTTAACCTTGAGTTACCCACACTTCAGTCACGGTTATACAATTATTACACTAATTACGCGAATTTGGCTTTTCCATTTTTCATTACGTGTAACTTTGAAATGAAAAAACAAAATACTATTATTACACTAATTACGTGATTTTAGCTTTTCCATTTTTCATCACGTGTAACTTTGAAATGAAAAAAGCAAAAGTAGTTCAATTATACAGTTTTTCGGAATAAAATTTTCCTGGAAACCTATTGGTAATAATAAAATTAAATAAGAACAATATTTTATTGCAAGAAATTGTCAATTAAGAAAGTAATAAATTGAAAAGTGAACTTTTTTTCAAAAATTGCTGTTTGCGAATTTGCATTAGTGTGATAACTGAGGGTTAATAGTAAATGAATTATATTAGTAAAAACTTTGTACTATCTATTACTATGAAGAAAATGTTAGAAATCTGAAGTTATTCTTTATTAAAAAATGAACTTTTTAAAGCCCTTGTATTTTTTCTGTATATATAAGAATATACAGAATATATAAGGATAGGACATACGGCTATTCATGGGAGAGGTGGAATATACAGCTTATGAAAAATTTACAAACAATTCTTATAAATAAGACGTAAAATGACACAATAACTTATAAAATGTGTTTACTAGTTTATTAAGCTAGTTTATTAAGCAATAAAGGATGATAAATATGTATATGAAGTAATAGATAATAATTACAATCTTTTTACATATATTACAAGTTATGACGTGAGGCACATATTTCGTGTAATGCATTTATTGCACTGAATTCAATCTGCGCACTTTGTATGCTTCGAGCATAAATTCCGCCTGCTAAAAATGCCGTATCCCCCCCCTCTCCCCTCTAAACAGATGGGATATACAAGACATTAAGCTGAACAAAGAATATACGAGCTAAGCATTTGTATTTTGCTATACATCATTCTTTAATATCCCTTTAGACTTATGTACCATCAAATAACCTTAAGCCTTTGCCTTTTCTTACAATAATCATTTTATTTAATAGACTTGATTATGATATACAGTTGCGCTATTCAGTACATTGACAATCGATTTAACTGACAGTAATTTCATTAATATTAACAGAAGGAAACTGAAATCATAGTACAATATAATTTAAAGGCATATAATAAAATGCGTGCACATTATCTCCACTCCTACTTTTTCTGACTATTTGCCTTCTACGGCAAATTCTCGTGTGGCGTAAATATCGAAGTTACCCTATAATGAACTCTAATACAATGTGCGTAGAAATATATTTGCTGATGAATAAATATATTTTTATGGCAGTATATTAATTTATAATACTGTTAAATTCAAAATGTTATCATGTTATATCCAATTTGAGTTATTTTGCCATTGCTCCTGTCTAATATCGTTAATTAAATTAAAACAATAGAATTAAATAGTTCAAGGAAAATGTGTATTAAATGTGAGATTTAAATTTAGTTTATTATTTACTAAATGCATACATCAATATGTTGCTTACTTTGAAACTAACCACAGAAATGAATTGATTTGCATTTTGAGATACATGAAAATTAAAAATAACAAAATGATAATTAATTCAAGGGATTAAATTACCATTTCTTCTTTAGTATCTAACAATGCGTAACATTAAATCCTCATTATCATTGCATGCTGACTTGATTATTTAATATTAACTATGACTATTTAATATTGTTATATTCTTTGTTATATGTTATACTTTTGCATCAAGTATAAGGTGTTTAAATTTTTTAATTAGTCTATAATTAATTGTATAAAATACGATACAAATGATTAAAAAATGATTTAAAAAAGAAATATTCATTATGTATGAGATATTATTCCTTCTCTAAATTAAAGAATGAAAAATCTTTGCAAATAGTATTGCAGCACTGACATAAAAAAAGTTAGGAACGTTTCAGATAATGTAACATTATTCGATGGATGGGAAATCGGAAATCCATAGATAAACTCTACCGCGAGTGGCTTCGATCTCTTCCATGCAAGCCGGGTTTCGTCTTTTTTTCAATCGATTTTTTTAATCGAAGACGGAAGATCTTGGAAAAGTATCTGCAGCTCTTCTGTAAGCGAGGGTGGTTCCCAGGGAACGCAAGGATCTGTCATAACGACCGTACGACACACCTTCCTTGCCTTTTGTGCAGTAAGGATCTTCTTCGTGACCTCCTTGGCAAAATCTTTCTTACCCCTTCCCGATCCTTTTGGGGCGTCTCGAGATTTTTCCGCTACTGCAGCACTGTATGGAATATTATCGCTGAATTATCGGTAGCCAAATATTGGACAGCGAAAAATTCAATTTTTGAGTCTACAGATTGTTGAAATGATAGAAACTCGATGGAGATATTCTATTCTTATAGAATATCTTCTTATAGAAGAGATATGTTTTGCTTCTAAGTATAAATATTATCTCTGTTTTTTACGATTCATTGTTCAATATTAGTAACAAATATAATAATTCGGAATAATCAATGAATTTAAATTTAAAAATTGCATTTAAATAAAGCGAAAGATAAAGAAAATTAAAAAGCTTTTGGAATACAGTTCGACAAAGATAAAATCTTCTGAAAATAAAATTCTAAAGATAAATCAGTTGAAGTCCAATTCCGAAAAACCTAAGACCGGAACTAACCTGCTTTTCAAAGCTTTCTTGGTGAGTTTCCTTGCCATATTGGCTTCTTGGATCTCCTTTTTAGCTTTCTTCACATCTTCCGTCATGTCGGCGAATTCCTCAAGCGGTACTATCATCTTTTGAACGAAACGAATTTTTTCTTCTGTACTGTACTTTCTAGTCTGCTTTCTACGCTTATGAACGCGCAGAAACTCCGTCCAGCGTTCTCTTTTCTTCTGTCTCATTTTGTCCTTGATTGACGATTTCGCTCTGATGTCATCCTTCGATCTTATTCTCTCGTCGACCTCGCCCCATTTCTCATGATCTTTGATTGTTCGATCTGTAAACCTAAGGTCGACAATTCAATATATCCTTTTCTTGTGGATTTTAGAGTCAAGGAAGAAAGAAAGATGATAGTTGGATCACAATAAGTTAAAGCGAAAATTATTCAAATTCTAGTGACGTCAGGAAATTTCAAAAGTTCTAAGTTTCTATCAATTTTAACAAAATCGAGATTTTCAAGTTTTTCTATCTGATATGTTAACTTTTTTATTAGAGTATAATACGGGATGTATAATGTAACGAAAAATAAAAAAAGTACTTGCACGCGCGCGCGCGCGTTATAAAATAAATATAAAATTAAAAAAGTTTATATAATATATAGAATGTCTATTATAAATATAGAATTAATATATTGACATAATTATTAAATATTAATTAATTTTAATTCTGAAGCATCATAGTATACAAACAAATTAAAAAGAGAAAGAGAGAGAGAGAGAGGTTTTTTTATATATATTACATAATTATAAAGTCAATCAACATGTTGAAAACTTCCGTCGAAAATTTTCTTTATTAATAATACTTTTATAGAAAATATTCTTCTAATTAAAAAATAAGGAAAATCTATATCCATCTTGTTAAATTGCGCGTCATACCTAGTTTTTCTAAATGCAGTCCTGCGGCAGCAAATGTCAGGTTTGCAAACAACTTTACATGGCTTCCCAAACCTGAAAATGACGGGCTTTGGTCGTTTTTTCCGCACCTTCTTTCTGCGCTTTCTCTTGCTAATTTCCTGCATAGGAGATTCTACAATCGCTTTCACCAAGGGCTCTTCCGCCAACAAAGGCAAGGGCTCTTCCGCCATTGCTTTCTCCTGTTCAACGTCTTGCGCTATTTCCGCCTTAGAAATTTCGATGGTCTCGGTTTTCTTTGGATATTTTTCTCGCTCTTTGAATAATATTTTCGTCTCGAGTTCTGTTGCTTCATCTATCGGCAATTGAGAATCCTTTCCGATTTTTCGATTGGTTTTTTTTATGACACGACTCACTTTCGGAGGTAAAATATCTAAATCTTCAATATCTTCATATTTTTGTTTTTCCTATGAGATGCAAAAATATGGTATAGATTAAATCAAGAGTAAAATAAATCCAATTGTTTATTTGTTTATCTGTGTGCGCTCAATTATTTCAACGGCATTAGATGCGGCTGTATAGGATATGCGTATAAGATATATATTTAAAATTTGTTGTGTCTTGGATATTGTAATTCTAAGTAATTTTTGTTACACATAAAAGTACCTTTATTAAATTTAGATCTAAACTAATTAAAACTTAAAAATGAGGGATAACGTAGGTATATGATGTCGTTACACTTATCTTAACTCCGAGATACTATCGTGTCTCCTTTAAAGTTTGAAACAGTAACAAATTATAAATAATCGCTTGAATACAATCTTTTTAATAATGATATTCAAATTTGAGATAAAGAATTGTAACAATGAGAAATAGAAGATAATAGCAATGGATGAAAACACAGCGATAACCCGCAAACCTTCTGATATCTTTGAAAATGATATCCGTGAAAGCCTAAAAAGCGCGCGCGTTATCAGATAATAAAATTTTTTAAAAATAATAATGATTGATTTAATAAATATTAAGTCAGTCATTTTTCTGGTTTAATATAAAATTATTAATAGTTATATATAATTCGAAAATGTTATGAATTTACATCTAACAGCTATATTAAATTTTGTCAAGCATAATTATTATTTAGCGACATTTCGCGCGACAGTACATGGGCGATAAATCACACCGAAGAGTAAAAGGTCGCAGTCGAATGAAAGATAGATGAAATATTACAAAAGTTCTCTAATATATTGCGGTTAGCTGACCGCGAGTGTGATATATTAGAAATTTTATTAAACCCTGAAAATAAAACGTTGGAAGAAGAATACAGTGTGAAATTAAATATATTCAAACGACACACAACTTTTTATGCTAAATTTAAATTTATAACACAAAGTACAATATCTTTATGGAAATTTAACTGAACAACTTTTTTAATTTTTTACTGTTATCCAAAAGTTATTAAAACTCTATTTCTGGTTAACTCGAAATTTTAATTTGAAATATATTTTGATCAAAAAATAATATTTATTATTAGATATATGATATTTTAACTATCGAATGTTTATTTTAATATTACCTTTTTTACAATCTCAAAAAATTTGTCCTCCACTTCTTGAAGTTCGGGAAACTCATCTTTAGGCTTTTTCTTGGATGTAATTTTAGTTTTGTCTCGTTCTTTTATCTTTTCTTTTTCAACCTTATGTTTATTACGCTCGTTTAATCGTTTATTTTTCTTTCTTTCTTTCGCATCCATCACAAGCTCTGGTTCCTCTATGATAGTTCTCGCTAATTTGATTTCTTTCATACGCGTTTCTATTGCTTTTACGAAACGAGTGCACCTTTCCAGATACTGGCGTCAGATAAATGCAATGAATATCACGTTTATTTTATTTCTCTCTTTAACTAATTGTGTTTTTATTAAATTTAATTTATAGTATGATAAAATTAAATTCATAATATAATGAATTTTAAATAATTATATAAATGAAAGATTAATTTGGTTACATTTTTGTCGAATAAAGAATGTTATCAGATATCGTTATTTCATAATATTATTTCAGAGATTTTTTTAACTTCTGTCTGTTGCATGCTGCTAATAAATTTTATATGCAATTTTATAAAAAGACAAATTGCCGATACTCACCGACATAAAATCGTTCCTGTCATTTTTATCAAACGAATATAGCGCTTCTGTCAACTCGACGAGATAAACATTGCCAGCAGAATTTCCGACGGCCAGTAAAGACCCCATCTCGTGTGACTCGATCGCAGTTAATTTTTGCTCGCACAGTTTTACTGACAAGATTGGTTCTTGTATTCCTATTAGAAGATCCCATACAGCCAGTATACCGATATGCGTCGCTACGTAAAATACAGAATGTCTTGTTTTGTTCCAGCAGCCACATTGTGAACCTTCTATTATAAATCTAAAGATTCAAATAATTATATGAAAATCTTAGATTTTATCACATTACGTTCAATTATGTTCTATTCTAATTGACAAACAATTGTAATAGGTGATTTCATTTCTATTGCCACTAGAATTGATTCTACATTTTAGGATATAAAAAAATTATTCGCTTATTTATAATTATTTCAGTACACTGAGAAAAAATATATTAGATGTTAATAAATATTTATTCGAATAGTGTCAGTTGAATATTTATTAAATGTAAATATATATTTATTTGGTACAAAAACTATTAATTATTATATATATTATTTGATTTACCTATTATTATAATTTATTTAACAAATATTTATTTTCCGCAAATAAATGTTGTGTTAGTACAATTCAAACAATTATTTATTAAAATTTAGTACTTATTTTTCTCTTAGTGTACTGAAATAATCATAAATGGGCAAATAATTTTTTAAATATCAAGTAATTTCATAAGAATATTTTAATATTAAATATCAATTATCTTAGATGTACCGTCTTAATCTATATCAATAATTATTTATCACAATAAGCGACTTATATTTCGCTAATAAAATGAATCATGTAATGATAAATAATATATTTTCAAAGTTTGCGATTTATGGCTTTGGTTGAATAATTAATAATTTTTAATCTTTGAAAATATGTTCATAGCATTGAATTATTAAACGGAAACATATATATTTTTTTATTGTAGCATTTTTGGAGTCATTAAATATTAAATACTGAAGTGTTATCACATTTTTCTAATTATTTGTTGTTATTATTTCTTGTTGATATTTTTGCAAATATTTCTTTGAATGTTTCGTTTTAATTGGAAGAAAAAAATACCTCGTTGATAATAGACTACTATCCTTAGTGTCTTCCGCCCAAATGCGAACTGTGTTGTCGCCTATAGTTAGAAAGATTTTCGGATTGAAGCCATTGCGATCAACAGAAAGAACCGGGCCGTAATGAGCGTTGAATTTCAAGGCCATTTTCTCAGTCGGTGTTCTCGCTCTTTTCGATCCACTGATCACGATGCCGTTTTCCAAACCAAACATGAACTTCGTGCCTACGCTGGATTCGTAGTCGCTTGATGAAACTCCAATTGCTCGATCTATCCTCTGTTCATTTGGCGCCTGAAGATCGAACACGAGAACTTCGGTTGGTTCACGCAACTTCCTGGTGTCCCACCACATAGCACAGCCGTCCGAAGAACCCGAATAAAATTCCGTATTACTCTTCGTGGAGATCCACTTTACTACTGTCACGCAATCCCTTCAAAAATACAGAATTTTTATACACGTTATTTAAAAAGTATGATATATTAATATTTCAAAGGAAATTTGATTATATCTCTTTATTACTTTAATTATATTCTTTTATATCACATATAATTATTTCAAGGAAAAAGCAAATATCTTTCTCATATATAATGTCGCTGCATTTTTCACAGATAAAACGAAATAAAAAAAAAAGATGATTGAAGTCGCTGTTGCAAGCGTGATATTAAAAGAAAAATCACGTACATTGTCACGATGTGACAAATGTCACTTAAAAAATGTAACGGAACTTAATTGAGAGGAGATTTTGTCGGAAACGCGACAAAAACAACATTTTAATCATTCATCATTTTGTCGCGCGAGCGCGAAATACCCTTTAGACCAACCAAGACCGGGGCACTTTGGTACTGAATTATGAAATCCAAAGTTCCGACGTCGCACCCAGGCATGTTCACGTCTAGATTACCTATGACTGAATTTAGGATGAGACATTTGAACTGGAGTCCTGCCAGTCCTGACGTCCCAGCTGCAAACTTGGCCTGACATCAAGCCGCTAGCAAGTATAGAAGGATCTCGGGGATTAAACTCGCTGACCACCGTGGCATATGGAGCCTCCAGTGCCATCCATGGCTTATTTGGATTGTCTACCATATGTTTTTCGAATATTCAGATCCAGTTTCGCGACATTTCGGTTGACGATCGTACAAACAAATGGAAAAACATAGCGTTATTTTTAAAAGATTAAAAAGTTACGCTTGTGAAATTCGATTTTATGCCATTAGAGTCGTATCGTTAAAAAATACATACGTTGAATAAAGTGTAGCTACATTCCATTTCTGATACGCGAGAAATGCAATATTGTTGGATTTTCATGCCCGATTTACTCGTGCGTGTTGTTTAGCTAGTATTTCACTCGTTATAGTAAGATGATTGTAATTGCTGGCGTAAAAACATTGCATGTTTCTCGTTCAATGAATCAGTAACAATGTATTGTTGCTTGATTGATCAACATTTTATCAAATGTCGAAAGTATGGTATAAAAAGAATTGGTATATTCGATCGCTAAAACTGTATTTCACGTATAACTTTTTAATTTAACTTTGCGTCGAGATGAGATGGAAACGTCTGTTTCTCATATAAAAAAGCTATGATATATCAGTAATTTCGATTGTAATAAATTTAATAATATATTATACATTTAATTAATTTTTATCATAATGGAATTCTATCGACAGATATTTTCCATACATTTTTTGTTGTGTAAAATTTACATTATTTAGCGCGATAAAAATTTAAGGCTACGTTTTGTTGGATGATTGTCGAAAAGAAGCTCTTAATGTACAAAAAACCGCATGAATTTTCGTGAAATGAGATTGTTATTTATCGAAGAAATTTGCATGCAGTAAAAAAATGGTCGTTACTAAAAACGCTGATGCAGGTTAAGGGCGGGGACTTATTGCACTTGTTGTGCAACCATAATCAAATGCGCCGTCTAAATGCAGTCAAGGCTTTTACGCGCTTTTTCCACCTACCAATTTGCCAGATGTACGCAATGTTGCTGTAATTTGCTGGCTTGATTCCAGAGAAACTGTACGAGACCACCATTTTACTGCCAGAGTCTGGCGACCAAGAAATATCATTCACCGATCTCACCGGCGTTTGAGGATCCTCGTAGACGTTCACTGTCCTGAAATAGAATTCCAGACTGCTATTGACTTTGTTACAGTATAAAAGAATATCTTTTAACGTGATAATAATACCATTAAAATAATATCTATATAAAATGTGTCTGACATAAAAATATGGGATTTTAATATTTTGAAAAATAATATGAATTTCTCATTCTGCAAGTGTGGATGATGAACTTTGTAATATATATAAATCCTTTTGGTATTAATATATTGTATTTAATAAATGTATTACCGCGATAACCTAGTTTACATCGTGGAAATTCTCTGTATTATTTCCATCTCCGTTTTTATCGTACATGCCCCAATTTCCATCTATTAATTTTAATATTAAATTTGATGCGTATTATTTTACCTTACATTTACATTTATCTTATTAAAATGCACTTTTAAAAGGAGAAAAAATAAATTATTATTTCCGTGATATTTTTTTCAAAGTAGTTAAATTATTAAATAGTATAAAACCGTCTACAGTTTCTGCATGCAAAAATCGTTAGTTTAAAACAGAGAAAAGCAAATTTAGCGGTAGGATGCATAATTCATTCGCGTCCACTACGACTCCGGAATCCTGACATATGTTCGGATACCTTCGGGCTCGGCCCGGGTTTAAATTTTAAATCTTTTGATGGTCGAACCAACGTAGTCGTTCTTGTCCTCCACGAATATATACATTTTAAAATTGTCCATCTGAAATCGCACGAAGTTCTGTGCGTGGTATCGACGTGTCGTGTGATACGTGTGACAATGGAAACTCATCTATTCAGATCTCTTTAACTCATTGAATTGTTAACGATTACGGCCACATTTGTCAATACTTTCAATAAATATTTTATATATTTTACTATATTATTTTGCTTCACATTAACAATATTTGAGGTATGAGTAAATTACAATTTATTTATAAGCTTTGTATATAAAGTATAAATTAATTATGACAAAATTAAATTTTCACCTGAGACCACGAGGTTTCACTAATTCCGTGGGAATCATATCGTCGAAATAGTGTTCGTATATATTAAGTGCGCCATTCTGAAGGACATTGTGCTCCATTTTCTATGAGAAAAGAAACAATGTAATTTTTATATTTTCTGTAATGAGATATAGTATCAATATCTAGAATCATGCAATTAATCTAGAAATTAATTATTAATTATTAATTATTAATTTTTAAGCTTAATATCCCTTTAGAATTTTAATTAAATAAATTTTATCTTAATAATACACAAACATTTTCGATAATTCATTTAATATACTTGAAATAAATTCAACAATTTCGACGCCCACTCTTCCTCCTTCTCGACTCGTCTGCGAAACCTTGCTGTCACTTCCTCGTCTTTCGGATTGATTTCCTTCGGCCAACCACCCTCGAAGTGAAACATTCCACTGTTCTTCGTCTGGATGCTGACAGTTTGGGCCTGGAATTCCATAGGAATGATTGCTAGGACGGTAATGTGAAATTCCACGTGCTTGAGCGCTGGATTGCGTGTGTTCTGACAACTCTATTTCCAGTTGTTCCTCTCATTTCTTAACACAATAAAATAAAATTAATGATAAAATAAACGCGAAAATTTATGATTTATTATTTGGAATGATTTTTTATATCTTATATTTCGAGTAGCAATTCATTAGTTTGATTAGTTTAATTTCTTCCAACAATAAAACATATGACAATAAGCTTTTGAACTTTTGATATTCTGCACACAAACGTAGAATTCATATTAAAATTATGAGTTATGAAATTGTTGTTATCAAAATAATGTCGAATGTCTGCTTTAAGTTGTCTCATTATAAAACAAAACGTGCTGGTCGTGTAAAATTCGTGTGATGTACCGTCTTTCCATGTTGCAGTTTCGTAGAAAGTTATACATTTGTGGCATCAGGTAGCGAACTCTACGAGATGCGCGGATGCTACGACGTCAGACGCGTCAGTCTGACGCCAATTTTACCGCAAGTTATGTCTAGTTTCGTTAAAGTAAAGCGAAGCTGATTTTTGAATATATTAGTAGAGTTTTTGAACTAGAGTTAGAAAGGTTGCCGCAAGTTGGATCATAGTTCGTTCTCCCTTACTGATCCGACATTGTGCTAAAGTCATTATTATAACAGAAATCTTGAGTATATAATCTTACAAATTAAATTAACAACCTAAGAGCTAAAAGCCAAATTTTTCTTACAAATTTAATGAGTTTTAATAGTATTATCAAATTAAATAATTAGTGTAGAATTTATTAAAGTATCAAGAATTAACCTTGTGTAAGGCAAACTGTTTGGTGTGCTGCATGCCGAAGTTGCAGTAAGATTTTATAATATAATGGGCCATAACGTCGGGATCTGGCATGATCTCTTCGTCCAAGTGCGGACCATATATGTCAAAAATACATTGTTTGCCAAATTCGGCGCGTGTTTTTTCAAAAACCTGCTTGATCTCCATTGTATCGTATTTAGTAGAAATTGATGATTCCCACTCGCACGTGCGAAGCTTTCCAAGTCAATATCTAAAATATGAGGGATTGGCGAATCATTCGAAAATGTCATACGTGTATTCCCAGTTTCCCACATGTGTTCTGCCGTGTGAAATTGCGCATGATCGGTTCTTCTTTTTATCGCAATGCGATATTTATCGTTTTTTTCCTCTCGATATAACAATTTTTTATTTTACTTGAGAAAAGGAAGGAGATTTTGTTGCTGAAAAAATTTAGCTACAGTTCTGAAAATAATTTTGTTAAACTTCAGTGATGACAAAAAGTTTAACATTCTAACCAGTTTAAATATCTTATACTATATAATATATTATTTTGATCATTCAAAATACGAAATCATCTTCATATCTGTATCTGACTAAATTTTTAGATATTTCAGCAAAATTATTCTTTTTGTGTAACAGTATAATTTTTTAAGAAAACTACAATAAATGAAACAAAATTTCTCAGAAATAATGACTCATTTAGTTTTGACAAAATTCATACTTCGGTATCGCCAAAATATTGTTTGTTAATTATAATTTTACAGATTCAATTAAATTTTGCGTTTTGTTAATTATAATTTTACAGATTCAATTAAATTTTGCGTTTTGTTACATGGAAAATTAATTTTCCAAGCTGGTATTTCTCATCCCAAGAAACAATAAATTTTTACAAATATATTTTTGAACGTATTCTCGGTTACAAATATATTCTTTTTTTCGAAATCAGAAGAAGTTTAAAATTGTGTTTAAAATTGTATTTTAAAATTGTATTTTAAATAAAAAAAAACATGGATTTAGAAACAAAATAAAAAATTAAAGATTTTTAGATGTTTGCACATTTTTATTGATCCACTATCAAATGTATTTGATTTAATTAATACGAATCTCTCGTTTTTTCGATCAAACTGATTGAACGGACGAAAAACACTAATCGACGAAGATTGTTATCAAGATTTTTGCTCTTCTTACATTACTACTTGGTTCATCGAGAATCGCTGATGTAACTACTTCATTTTAACGATACGATCGTTCCTTACTCTCTGATGTGCATCCAGCATCATGCTTGTCACGTCTACGACGTGAAAGATTGCTCGCGTGATCAAAAAATTTAATAAGTTCCGCACAAAAGTTGTTGTTCTTAAGATAAACTTTCTAAATTTTCCTAAATTCTCTTTAAATACAATATAATGAGATTTTTGTTAGTGCTAATTTTTTTTATGCAAAATTGTTTAAATAAAAAAATTTTATCTTTTATCTTAGCGTTTTAAATTGGCGTCTTAATTTATCGTTATTTCTTTGACTCAATGCGATCAGAACTATTTATTTTTAATTTATCGAGAACTATTATATAAAATTATTATATAAAAATAAAGCCAGAATTCTATAAAATAATCTCTAAGCGATCGATGAAATTACAGTAACTTCATATTGCGCAATTACAATTATTGATCGTATCTATATTGATGTCAATATTATATCTGTACGATATGAGTATTATTTACACGATATGCATCAATAATATTGATCGTATATAGACACAGCTTTAACAGTTTACAAGTTTCTACAAAATGATATACACTACCTTCATATACGTGAAAATATGAGCGAACAGGTTTAAGCGTTAATCGGTTTACTGAAAATTTCTTTTAATTGAAATAAAAAACATTGAACATATCTGCTGTATGAAACATGTATACTGATATTTTTATTAATCAACGAAAATATAATATTATAGTGATTTATATACATTTTTTATATCACATACATAAGTTGCTATCAATTGGATTATATTAATTATATGAATTAGCACGTTAAAAATCTAATAGAAAATAAATCAGCTCTCTATATTCTTTGGTATAAAATCTCACTCTAAAAATTGAAAGTGAAAATTACGAGTTTTGAAAAAGAATAGCTTAATTTTCAATCTTTAAGAATGAGATTTCACTCCTCAAAGTGAGATTCGCTTTAAAAGTTTAAGAGAGAAATAAGAATTAAAATTAAGATATTAAGATGTGTGTGAGATTAATCAACAGAAAAATATTTTTCCTTGGTAGTTCAAAAAAAGTGCAGGAAATGAATTTTCTGAATTATTTAATTTTAACGTCAACTGTGTGAAATAATTCACATGGAATTTCAGATTCAATATTCGAGTTCTTCAAGATTACAGTAAATCAAACGTAACGAATACTTAATGAAGTTTCGAGATATATTCATTCGACTTGTACTACATTTCAAAAGAGGTGTTTAGCTGAGTTTCTTCGTGACTATAAATATGCACAACATAGTTACACTATCGGGATAGGTCGTTTAGCATTTGAAAGGATCTGTTGTTTTCCCGATGTTCCTCTCCAACTAGCTTTTTCTCCTCTATACATTGTAATTTCCTATCTCAGTTCATAGGGCTCAATGAACTACGATGCCCTCATCAGCTAATGGCCGCGGTATCCGTTTGTTAGCTTCCGCACCGACCACGTTCGATCAACAATCATCAACGGAGGCGAAGATTCGTATTGTTTTCGGATTCATGCATCACGTCGCTAACGTTGCTACAATCTACAGAACTAACACATATA